AGAGGACATACACTCTGTAGCAGTGTGAATCACAACATGATAAGACAGAGGACATACACTCTGTAGAAGCATGGAGCACATAGTGTTACAACAGAGGACAGACACTCTGTAGCAGTGTGAATCACAACATGATAGGACAGAGGACAGACACTCTGTAGAAGCATGGACCATAGAATGTTACAACAGAGGACATACATTCTGTGAGTGGTACTTTTTCTTCCAATCAGAAGAACAGGAATGCTAATGGATTGAATCCTCAAGAGGCAAAATACCATTCTGGACAGTTCCACCCCAATTTAACCCCTGCATAAAATTGTTTGTTTGACAGAAAGATTCTGTTAATTGTTTCTAAGTGTTAATTGATATGTATATCTGTAATGTAACATGAATAATAGTGAGTGAAATGTCAATAAAGCTGTATATGTTTACAGGAAGCAGAGTGTGAAAAGTTTACCATGGATGTAAAATATTCAGCTAATACAAAGATTGAGAATTCAAGCCGTCTTTTTCAGTTACAGAAAAGCAAATTTGATGCAGAGGTTAACACAAAAGTAAGTACAAGTTTTCAGAACACTGGTCTCCATGTAGAATATTTATAGTTACACTATATATTTTGTTTGATGTTGTATAAAGTATCATTTAAATAACTGTAGTGTGCTTACATTTATGTCTTAAATACTTTAAGTATTAATTTTTAAAGCCTCACAAATGTATATCTATTATCACCAAATGGGTTTCTGTTTTGAAAAGGAAACATGTACTGATGTTTCTAGGATAAGGTGTACATTGTTGACTCAAGTATGGTAGCACACCATTTTCTTGTAGGGTTTAAAAACCAAGTCATTCACATCCACCTGTGTTGAGCTGAGCATGGCTCAGTGGTTACCATTCTGAACTCTATAGCTGAGGTTTTGTTTTACGTTACCACCAAAAACAAACCATACTTTGGGGCCATGGGGCCATTGTAAAAGTGATTGTCAAACCCAACTATATAGTCTGACAAGAGTAACCCGAGAGTTGGTTGTGTGGTGTAACTGTCTTCCCTCTAGACTATCACTTCAAAATTAGAGGTGACTAGTGTAGTCCCTGTGTAGCTTTCCACAAAATAAAAACAAATAAACCTCTCACATCAGCCACTGGTGGGATGACATCTTGTATATATTGTGAACCATGGTGTCTGTTTGAGAGTTTGTCTGTCTCCCATTTGAAAAACTGCACACAAGCAAAGCTCAACATTCACTTTTGAAATGATGGGAGAACAGGCGTGAATAATGTTGATGTCAAATTTTATTTCACAAGTAGGATATTCTACGATAAATTGTTAGGAATTAATCACACTATCGTTAACATTTTAAAATGTGACGTAACTTAAAGAATAAAAATGTAGATTTACCATATGTTATTGTTGACCGGCTCTTAGCATGACTGAAATGCTCAACAATTATTTTTCACTCTGAGTAAAACCAAGAATGCAACACAATTAATGTTTTTAAAGTCCATGAAATAATTTAAATTGATAGATTAACTTAAACTTTTCCAGTCACTGGGGGCGGGTACTTTTGCTTGTAACATGTAATTGAAAGACAACAGGGGATCTGTTGGTCCATTTAGGCTATTTCATCCACTAAACTAAACATTAAAATAAATATTAAAAAACCCTCAATGCCAGCCCTTTTCATCCTTATCATTCAAGTATTTATCAAGCTTTCCCTTAAACTTCCTTAAATTGATTGTGTCCACCACATCTGAAGGCAACCAATTCCAAATGCTAACCACATCTGAAGGCAACCAATTCCAACCCTGTTAAAAAATTAAAACTGTCTCGGCTGAAGATGATCTTTATCCTGCCAAAATTTATATTTGTGCTTCCTATTCGTAACATTAAGTATGAAAAAAGATGAATGCATCAACTCTATCAATTCCCTTAACAATCTTAAACACATCAATTAGATTCCATCTGATTCTTCTTTTTTCAAGAGAGAATAGTATCAGAGATCTTACCTGGCTTTGTATGACAACCATTTTCATCCCAAGGTATAATCCTGTTAATCTTTCTCTGACCCATATTCAACAATTTAATATTCTTTCTAAGGTGTGTCTGAGGACGTATAATGTCAAGAAACTGGGTTTGATACCCATGGTGGACACAGCACAGAAAATACCCATTTTGTAGCTTTGTGCTTAACTCCAAACAAACAAACAAAAAAATTGTGTTATTTGAAATTGGTTTTTCTCTTGAGCAGTTCTTTCTGTGAAATGCTATTTTTAGATCATTGATAATAATAAATTGAAATTAGGTTGTATTAACTTTTCATGAATTCTTAAAGATGTCAAAAACCTCAAAACTTCTGTTTACCTCATAGAAAGCTGAAGCCCAGTTGGCCTATGAACTTCAGGAAGCCAGGATGAAGCAGAAGATTAGGAATGAGGAGATTGAGATTGAAGTTGTTGAAAGACGAAAGCAAATCGATGTCGAAGAGAAAGAAATACTTAGAAAAGACAAAGAGCTTACAGCTACAGTAAGGTTAACAGCAGAGGCAGAAGCTTATAAAGTAGAAAAATTGGCCCAAGGAAAACGGTCAGTACGTGATAGGAATTTTTCTAGGGAAAATGGCTATAACACAGTGGGAAGATTTCTAAAGAATATGGCCAGTAAATGATTTAGATGGGTTTCATGAGATGATTATAAGTTTTTTTAGAGGAAAACATTCAGTGCATGATTGATAGTTTTCTTGGAAAAAACAGAACATTAGAAGATTTATATTAGATGGTCAGTGTATAGTTTGAAAGCTTCTTGTGAAAAATGGTCAGTGCATGATTGGTTGGTTTCTAGAGAAAAACCAGTCTATGTATAATTGATAGATTTCTAAAAATATGGTCAGTAGATAATTAGAAGGCTTCTAACCATCCTATAGGAACCTTCTAATCATGTACTGACCATCCTATAGGAACCTTCTAATCATGTACTAATCAACCTATAGGAACCTACTAATCATGTACTGACCAACCTATAGAAACCTACTAATCATGTGCTGACCATTCCAGAAAAACATTCCAGTCACCTACTTACCTTTCCATAGGAACCTACTAATCCTGTACTGGCCATCCCATAGGAACCATCCAGTAATGTAATGCCATTTTTCCATAGAAACCTAATTATGTACTAACCATCTTCCAGTACATGATTAGTAGGTTTCTATAGGATGGTCATTACATGATTAGAAGTTTCTATGGGATGGTCAGTACATGATTAGTAGGTTTCTATAGGATGGTCAGTACATGATTAGAAGTTTCTATGGGATGGTCAGTACATGATTAGTAGGTTTCTATAGGATGGTCAGTACATGATTAGAAGTTTCTATGGGATTGTCATTACATGATTAGAAGTTTCTATGGGATGGTCATTACATGATTAGTAGGTTTCTATAGGATGGTCATTACATGATTAGAAGTTTCTCTGGGATTGTCATTACATGATTAGAAGTTTCTATGGGATGGCCAGTACATGATTAGTAGGTTTCTATAGGTCCCATAGAAACTTCTAATCATGTACTGACCAATTGTCATTACATGATTAGAAGTTTCTATGGGATGGTCATTACATGATTAGAAGTTTCTATAGGTTGGTCAGTACGTGATTAGAAGGTTTCTATGGGGTGGTCAGTACATGATTAGAAGTTTCTATAGGATGGTCAGTACATGATTAGAAGGTTTCTATAGGATGGTCAGTACATGATTAGTAGGTTTCTATAGGATTGTCAGTACATGATTAGAAGGTTTCTATAGGATGGTCAGTACACGATTAGAAGTTTTCTATGGGATGGCCAGTACGTGATTAGAAGTTTCTATGGGATGGCCAGTACACGTTTAGAAGTTTTCTATGGGATGGCCAGTACACGATTAGAAGTTTCTATGGGATGGCCAGTACATGATTAGAAGGTTTCTATAGGTGGTCAGTACATGATTAGAAGTTTCTATGGGATGGCCAGTACTTGACTGGAAGATATTTAACTACAACCCATCAAATAATTTTTAATAGGATCACAAAATAGTCCATTAGTGAAAAAGTAAACCAAGATTTATGATGGTTGTTCTGGGTATGGCAGTTTCTGAATTTTACTAAAGAAACCGTTGTTGAAAATATTTTGTATTCATAAATATGCATGATTGTAGTCCACTATTGTAATTTTCTCTGAACTGTTTATTGCTTTACACTTGTTTATTAGTGAAGCCTGGTATATATGTATTGAGGTATTTTGTAAATGAGAGTTTTAATTAACTATTTTCTAGTGGCTAATTGATGTGTAGTAATTTTAATGAGAAGGTTATTTGTGACATTGATTTTCATACAAAAGGGGAGTCCATCTCATTACTTCTGGTATACAAACTTTACAGTTTTCAAAAGAGTTTCACCTTATTGCATAAAGATGTCTTTTACCTAATATGTTTGTGTATGGTTTCTTCCCACTCGTTGACCCTATTACCTTGGTTTGGACTGAGATAATTTTCTTTGTATGTGACTGTGTCGTATAATTATTGTTGGTATAGTTTTAAAGGAATTTAACTATCTTTTCTGAGAATTTTTCTTGGACTGTGAACTTTGCATAAAGGACAAAATGACCTGTAGTTCAACTATCAGTATCACAGAAGTTTAGTGACATTTTAACTTTAAATTATTATTATTATTACCTACTCTTGAGCCCTAATTAAGCATTAAGGTAAAAATGAACATTGATGTTACCCAGAGGCTGATGTTTTTTATTGATTTATTGAAGAACTTGGCTTTTTTTATAAATCTTATTGTTAATTGAGCATAAAGATTGAGATAATCCAATAATAAATTGTTATGAAGGCAACAGATACTTTGTTGCCCAAAGGAGAGAGTGAGTAGCTATAATCTGTTTCCTAAGGCTGTTAGGAAAAGTTGAGCCATTATGTATGTCCACACTCATTTTACAGGTTTGAGCTTAATGCTTTTATCAAACCTAAATAGGTCAACATGTTTTCAATGAATGGTTATTTGCAAAGTTGTGCTGCAACACATGCATGCATAGCAATGGCCTAAACAACTGGGAAACTTTGGCATGATTTATTAATTGGCTTTTCAAGGCAACAGTTCAAATGTTTCATATTGTGATGTGCTCTAGGCCAATCACAGCACAGCATATATACTAAGGGTGTTAAAATAGCAGTTAATGGGTTAGAAACACAGAGAACTCAGTATGTTATTGATTTTCTGATGTTGTACATGAAAGGATGAAAAAGTTTAAGAACTTAAATGTGATTTAACTGATTAGTTTTAAGATTTTTCAGTTGTGTGAAAAGAAGAATTTAAGGACAGTTGTCAAAGTCATGAAAAGGACATGTATTTTTATAGCTAACCTATATTAAGAGATGACCTTTATGGTACAGACACACATAAAGGTCAAGGTGAAAGGAAGATCAAACTTGATTACTGTTGTCAGATTTTAACAATTAACAATATTTGGGTACTAGCTATGCATACAATTTAAGATAGCTTGGAAGTTTGAATTTAGTTTTTCCATTTATGGCCATGCTTCGTTGAAAGATAGATAATTATTGGCCAAAGTAGTATTTCTCTTTTTTTTGTTAAAAATTTTAAAGAAATTTAGACCATATATATGGTCTTAGATAGATTTTATTTATGCTTATAACTTAAAATCTTTTCAAAAGCAATAATAACTGTCACACAGAGGAATAATTCTTATTTGCATTAAAATCAATATAACCTTAATATCAACAGCCAAGACCACAAACAACTTAATTATATTTTTATTTTCATCAAGTCCATTTATATTGTAACCTCATTGCTCATATTTATAATTAAATTATGTATACCTTTCTAACTTCCTTATGGTTTACTTACTGTGTAATTCTACATTTATTTCATACTTTGAACGGCCCGGCATGGCCAGGTGGTTAAGACGCTCGACTCGCAATCTGCGGGTCGCGGGTTTGCATCCCCATCCCACCAAACATGCTCGCCCTTTCAGCCGTGGGGGCGTTATAATGTGACGGTCAATCCCACTATTCGTTGGTAAAAGAGTAGCTCAAGAGTTGGCAGTGGGTGGTGATGACTAGCGCCTTCCCTCTAGTCTTACACTGCTAAATTAGGGACGGCTAGCGCAGATAGCCCTCGTGTAGCTTTGCGCGAAATTCAAAAAAAACAAACATACTATGAAGTTTCGTAAATGGTCGTTGAATTAGTGTTATCTTTGTAAAATTTATATTCAGTGAAATTTCTTTTTTAATAATAAAAAAAATATCATTTACCGATCATCTTAAAATTGTCTTAAACCGATGTGTCAGTGATACTAACAGACTTAAAACTTAAATACTAATATGTTCTTCCTACAGTGTGGAAACGGTTGAAACTGCCCGTGCAGAAGCGGAAAGCATTAAGGTGGTTGGAGCGGCAGAAGCTTATGCTATTGAAAGAGTAGGAAAAGCAGAAGCTGAGAGAATGAGGATGAAAGCTGCAGCTTATAAACAGTTTGGTAATGCTGCTGTTCTGAGTCGAGTCCTAGAGGTTCTTCCAAAGGTTTGCCATTTTCTCTCTCTCTCTGTTTTGATTTTTGAGGAAATATTTAATAAGTAGTTTTTGAGGTTATGTTAAAACCCATAAATAAAAGTTAGTATTGTGTTAATTTGGTTGAAGTATATATTTTTTAAAAGTGTATTTGCAAGTATTTACAGCTTACAGTTTAACCTAATATGACAAATCATCTCGTGGTTTTCAACACTATAGTGCCAAGTTTATTATATAGTTTATCATAAAATGAGATTGTCTCAATGAAACGTGTGTGCTGTCCAAGGGTTTAATCGCTTATTTCATTCTAATTTAAAGATCATGTTTATCTTGATTCTGTACTTTTATATGTTAACGTATCTTGCATGCTTCATAAACTCTCATTGGCTGTAATGTAACCAATTAGAAAGTTACTTATTTCTTTAGTTTATATGTTCTGGTGAAAATTTGTTCCTAAAGGCTAAAGTTTCTCTTCAATTTTTGTTGGGTCAGTTATGACCTAGTGGTTCTACAGCTTGGATAGCAGCACAAAATACAATGTGTAGATTTTTTGTTTCTTAGATTACTGTCAATAAAATGACAAAGCATGTTGTAGAGTCTGATTGATCTATAGGAGAATACGTTTGGTAGTTAGTTTTCTCTTATCTCTTGTTGGGCTGGTTATGACCTAATGGTTTGCATTCTCAGTTTATAAGTCTGAAAGCTCATTGTTCATGAACTATTTCCCCAGAAATGTGCCCCACATTTTGGGCTTGTGGATGTGCTAATAAGAGTGATTGTCAGATCCAACCTTTTCCACCAGAAAAGAATAGCCCAAGGGGTGGCAGTGGATGATGTTGAATATCCGTCCCTATGTCCTGTCAGTTAAAAATTAGGGACAGCTAGAGTAAATAGTCTTTTTACAGCTTTAGACTAAAATTCTAAATAATTGTCATTGCTGTAACCAGAAGTTGGCTTCCTTGGTAGTTGTAATGTAGTGCAAACTCCTTGTTGTCTTGTGTAGAAATGATTAAGAACTACTAACAAAGAGTCAGCTACTATATCGATCAGACATTAAGTGGTTTGAAAAGTCATTTATAAGTTAATGATGATGGTGTATATTCAACTGGAAAAAAAAATTCCTGTGGTCAATATATGATAAAAATTAAGACGTACAGTGAGTGATCAAGAATTGTATATATATATATATAATCTTTTTAGTTTTTATGCTTTACATTTGCAGTAAGGAAAATGCTTGTTTAAATGGGTTACCTATTTTTTTGGGGACTAACAGGATAGATTTTGTTAAAGCTGAAGTACTGTACATCTGTATTGGTTATGTGCAGCAATATCTTGATCATGAACTGTTTACAGAAATAGTAGAGTGACCAGATACTCCAGTTTTGCCAAGACATTCCCGTGTTTTGATAGTTTGTCCCAGTGTCCTGAGAAACATTCTCGGGACACACAAATTGTCCATGTTTTTGGATCACGAACATAGTAGGCTTAGTTGACTTGCTTATTGTCGTAACATGTACTCTCCTGCTGCCAAATGCTCTCTTAAAGTTGTTGTAATGATACTCTTATGAAGTGTTGTAATATCTTATTAGAATTGTTGTCTTATTAAAAGGTATATTCCTTTCATATGTGGCTTATTCATATTGTGTTCTTCATAAATATTACAGTAATGTTATGAAGAAGTCCTGAACATTATAATTTTTTTACAAAAAAAATTGTAAAGTTTATGCTCAAGTTGGTATTTTATAAATTTGTACGTTTTTTTTGGTAATTTTTATTTTTGTTTTTAATATTACTTATTTGGCAGAATGATAAAAAAATCATTACTTTCAGTTAATGATCTTTTTTTTCTTTCTTTAAAATGTAAATTTCTAAAGAAGTTAAGAGTTTTTCATCTTGTAATTAAGTTTTCTTATGACTCTAATTTAACCCAAAGTGGTTCTGTAGGTTTGTGATCTTAAACATTTGTAAGTAATTGAATAATAATCTAATACTAATAATAATAATACTTAATTATAATAATAATTAATCTAATACTATCAAGCACAATTATAATCAATCTCATATAAAGTAAGGTTACATGCTATCATTACAACAGTGATACAGCAGTAATTCTGCAGACTTACAATTTTAGAAATCGGGTCTCGATACCTATGGTGGGCAGAGCACAGATAACACATTGTGTAGCTTTGTGCTTAACTTCAAACAAACCTTTAAGAAAACTATGAATTACATTTTTTAAAATTTACATAATGTTATTGTAACAATATAAGTAACTTATAAAGAGTATTGGTTTTACACGAAACATACCCAACATTAGAAATAATTTAAATTAACTTTTTCATTACATAATGTATGTATCAGACAAACTAAGCCTACTTTGATCGTAATATCTTTACCGCATTAGATTGCAGCTGAAATATCTGCACCATTGGGTAAAACAGAAGATATCATTTTGATTGGAGAAGGAGACCAATCTGCCACTGGCGCCCTGAAATTGATGAGTCAAGTTCGGCCTAATGTTCAAGCTCTGACTGATGTTGATCTCCAGAAGGTATTATCCAAGTTCTTTCATCTTATAAATGTGGCCTGGCATGGTGTGGTGATTAGGCTCACAATCTGTGGCTAATGGGTCAAATTCAGTCACCAAACATGCTTGCGTTTCAGCTGTAGGTGTGTTGTAATGTGACAGTCCATCCCACTTTTAATTGGAAAAGAATAACCCAAGACTTTGTCAATAGATAGTGTTGACTAGCTGTTTTCTTTCTAGTCTTTCACTCCAAAACTAGGAACAGTTATTGCAGATAGCCTTCGAGTAGTTTTGTGTAAAAATCAACAAAACAAACATAGAGGTTGGCTATTTAAAAAGAAACCCACAAACTCTGTAGAAGCTATTGGGGTTGTTGAAGTAAATCAGGTATATGATTATAATCATATTTGACAGAATGTATTGTTTTTTATATTATTTTACTTCGAAAGTAGGCTTTATTTGAAACAAAAATAAAGTCTCAAATTATCAATAATTTATTATTGTTTCTAAAGATTGGTATCTGAGTCCCAATTTCTGGGTGAGATATTAAAATTAAGTTACAAATACAACACCAGTTCCAATTATACAGTTTGCTGAAAACATAATTATTTGTGAAGCAAGAACTCATCACATACTGTTATTCAGTTTATACAGGGATCTAAAAAACATAATGGGTAAAACAATTATCATCTCATTTTAAAGTAAAGTTTATTTCAATTGATCTTTTATAACCCGTTTCTTTCTTCCAGAACAAAATGTAGTTTTCAAAACATATGAAAAGCAAAATTCGTGTGATGAATTTTTCCAATTTTTATTTTCTGAAAACTTTATTATAATGTGTTAAAGCATGACTTTTAAAATGTAAGTAATTTCTTCTGAATTAACATGTGGGTTTGGTACTGTTAATGAAGATTTAAAGTTGTGACTGGTGTATTTTGTTGTCTTGTATTATCTGTTGATTTAGTTATTTGTTTTCATGCTTATTGAGAAGTAAAAAAAAAATACTTGCAACATTTTTTCAGACATGATACATTTATAGTTTAAATGAATGAATGTTGTTTAAAACATCTATAAATTCATTTTAATGTTTGGAAGTTTTATATTTCCCATTTTTCTTTTGCTAGAATTACATGTTTGTTAACTATTTTGTTTAAATGAATAAATTTTTCAGTTGGATCGTAATTTATCTGAAAGGTTTAAACAGTCTTTATGCATCAGTGTGAAGAGATTGCTTACATTATCATTTTGGTCAGCTAGCACATATTTATCAGATGATAGACTTGTTGTAACAGATCAGATATGCTAAATATGCTCCTAGTAGGTGAAAAAAATAAGAGAAATACTTTATGTGTAATTGAGGGTCGTTTCAATCCACAAGTTCACCTTTGAATGATCGTCAACTGATGAAGAGTTGTGAAATTATGAGAAAATTGGTGGATTCAAGTGAACCTCAATTATATGTGAAGTATTTGTTTGAATCTGTGTTTTTCGGTGTGATAATATTAATTATATGTGAAGTATTTTTATCACACCAAAAAACACAGATTCAAACTATTAATTATATGTGAAATATTTGTTTGAATCTGTGTTTTTTGGTGTTATAATATTGTACTTAATTATATTTGAAATCATTGTATATTCCAAACAAGTCACTGAAATTTGTTACACCTGTTCTTCAGATATTGCCTCAAACACACTCGTATATCTCTGATTAAATTGTAATGGTGTGAATACAAAGGTATAACAGAGTGTTCTCTATGATGCGAAAACTGTGTTAATTCAAGCAGCATTCTTTATTTCACTGAACATATCATGGATTTTTACATTTATATATGTTTCTTTAAAAGCCTTTGTTGCCTACATTTTTTTGACAGCTGAAATAGAAATGTTTGATTCCAGTTTTCATTATATTATCAAACTCAGTATTATTATTATAGCATAATTTCCATATAGATTTTAATGATCCCTTTTTTTTATTTTCTGACTTCTATAGGTGGTTCTTGAAGTTCCTGGAGCCAAGTAGGAATTTCTTGGAAGCTTGGAACTTTTAAACGTTCTCTACTAATGATCGTGCTTCACTATTTAGCAAACAGTGAATTTCTTCCTTTAGTTCTTTAATACTCGAAAGTGTTTGGCCTTGTCCATCTCGCTTAAAATACTTACTTTTTATTCTAGCTTGAAGATAAAATAATCATTTGATATTCTTTCAGTAATTTGAAAACTACAAACACTCAGTTACTCGGTTCTTATATTTGTGACATTAGTGGTGTAGTTCCAGAAAAGCATATCTGGAGTTTGGTCTTTCCAAAATCGTAAGGTTTGGAACAGTGTATCGACAAGCAGAATGTCAATTAGTTTCTTAAGTGAAGTGTATTGAAAGGTAATTTTTCTGTTCAGTATTTAATTTTTTATTTTAAGTTAAACAATTAATATTTTTGCTGAACATAACCATTAGTTCATAACGAAAATTGATAATTAAGTTCGAGGGTGCACCCGGTTTTATAAAAAGTGCTTTGGTGACACCAAGGTTCATCCTGGATTCAGTACATCATTGAGTTCTATACTGGTCAATTCCTAAACTTGCTCAGTAATACTCAAGTTGGTTTATTACCAGGTCTGTCACTGTTAAATCTTAGTCAAAATATAATGGTTAAAAATGGAGTTGTCTGTCACTGGGCTTGTAGTAGTGATAACTCACACAAGAAAGCACAAGCCATGGAGTTCTAGTGCAAAATGAGGTCTTGGGTTCAAGTGTCATGAGAGCAAAGTATTATTTCTTTACAAAATTGTTTACAGGTATTCAGGGTTCTTGTCTTTATTTCTTTCTATTTGCTTCTTCATCAGAAACAATCATATCCATATAAAAGAACAAATTTAAAATGATATAATTGTTAATTTGGAATTATGAGCTCATTTTAAGAGTAGCTTTGACTTCATAATGAAACAAATCTTTAAAGTAGTTTTGACTTCATGATGAAACACATCTTTAAAGTAGTTTTGACTTTATGATGAAACACATCTTTAGAGTAGTTTTGGCTTCATTATGAAACACATCTTAAAAGTAGTTTTGGCTTCATGATGAAACACATCTTTAGAGTAGTTTTGGCTTCATGATGAAACACATCTTTAAAGTAGTTTTGGCTTCATAATGAAACATATCTTTAGAATAGCTTTGGCTTCATGATGAAACATATCTTTAGAATAGCTTTGGCTTCATGATGAAACATCTTTAAAGTAGTTTTGGCTTCATAATAAAACACGTCTTTAGAGTAGTTTTCACCTTATAATGAAACACATCTTTAGAGTAGTTTTGGCTTCGTGATAAAACACATCTTTAGAGTAGTTTTGACTTCATGATGAAACACATCTTTAGAGTAGTTTTGACTTCATAATGAAACACATCTTTAAGTAGTTTTGGCTTCATAATAAAACATATATTTAGAGTAGTTTTGGCTTCATAATAAAACACATCTTTAAAAAGTAGTTTTGGCTTCATAATGAAACACATCTTTAGAGTAGTTTTGGCTTCATAATAAAACACATATTTAGAGTAGTTTTGGCTTCATAATGAAACACATCTTTAGAGTAGTTTTGGCTTCATGATGAAACACATCTGCAGCATAGTTCACACTTCATTTAATAATAGCAGTATATGGAAGCCAACATGTTTAGTAAACTACACTTGTTTTATCCAATAAGCTGTGCAGACCCAATCTGGGGTAGGGTGTTCTAGTCCATAACAATATCACAGAAAGCTACATCTAACTTCATACTTCACAAAGCCTATTTTTGACGTTAGCTTATGATAGATACCATTGAAAATGAATTACTAGCAACAAACACAGCTGTTTCTTTATGAAGTCAAAGCTACCTTGTAAACATGTTTCTTTATGAAGTCAAAGCTACCTTGAAAACATGTTTCTTTATGAAGTCAAAGCTACTCTTAAAATGTGTTTCATTATGAAGTCAAAGCTACTCTGAAGATGTGTTTCAATATGAAGTCAAAGCTACTCTGAAAACGTGTTTCATTAGGAAGTCAAAGCTACTCTTAAAATGTGTTTCATTATGAAGTCAAAGCTACTTTGAAAACGTGTTTCATTAGGAAGTCAAAGCTACTCTGAAAATGTGTCTCTTTATGAAGTCAAAGCTACTCTGAAAACGTGTTTCATTAGGAAGTCAAAGCTACTCTGAAAACGTGTTTCATTATAAAGCCAAAGCTAGTCTAGAGATGCGTATCCTTGTAATGAAAATTTATGTTTATTTGAGAATGGCTTTGAAATTCATGAGATGTGAGGTACATCATTCAGTTCAGGCCTACTTACACTTGCTAAATAAAATGGAGTAATTTTTCTATTGCTCATACGTACAATTGTTTTCCTTTGTTGATGCTTCTGTGGGATAAGTGTTGTGAAAAACTACAGTAGTTAAGACGTTTTTGGTGTTCGTTACCCTAACATCTAATGGACATTTTTATTGTATTTTCTTTGTTACTGTAATATCTAACAATATTTTAGAATATCACTTATTCTGCCCTTCAGTTCTTCCAATGAGGACTATTTTGTGAAAGTAGAAGATACTGTAGGATATTTATGTTTGAGTTTGTCTTAATTCGTTTTTCAAATGTTGTCAAAATATTAGATAATGCCAGGTCTATTGTATTTGGTAATATTTTAGTGTTGTATTCATCTTACACTTCACATATCATTGTGTTTGAACGACTTCCATACCGAAGGATTTGATTTTCTGTGCTTTCAGTATTGTAGTTATTTGGTGTTCCGTGTCGTTTTGAAGTAAGTGGATAGTGTCATTTTAATTGTGTGTATAAACAACTTAATTCATACGTTTTGTATGTGATTAAGCTTTTATTTATGTTAATTTTTGGGCCCTCCTGGTATTATCATCAGTTTGAGATGTATCAAGGTGTAGATTTGATGTCTTTACAATGATTAGACGTTTTTTTAACTATTACTGTGGTTGAGTGATAGTTTATATTGTTTTTACAATGACTTTAGCCTCGATTGTTGTATGTAACAATACAAAGTATTGAAGATTATTTCACCTTAGAAATATAACATGCTAGTTATGAAGCACATGTTACTCACTTATTTCTCTTCTATTGCCTAGGTAAATTAAAAACTTTGAACTGTGGTAACTTTATCAATATTATTCTGACCTATTTGTGATAATTTAAAATCGTAAGAAGCAAGGTTGAACTGTGAGAAGTTTTATCACTGTTTGGCCTCACTACATTTTGTGTAATTCTGATCCTTTTGTGATTTTGTAAAATTGTCAAAGATCCTGATTGAACTGTTCTTAATTTTATCAATATTTGGTCTCACTACATTTTGTGCAATGCTCTTATTTCGGTAATTGCATAAAATAGTAAAGATCAAGGTTAAATTGGTCCACTTAACAAAATATTGTCTTATTAAATTATTTGTCATTTTTAAAACTTGTAATCAATATGGTTGAGCTATGATTTATTTATTAATATTTGGTTTCACTACACTTTGTGTGGTTCTGGCTGTTTATGATTATTTAAAGCCATATGAGTCAAGGTTGAATGTTGATAAGTTTATTTATATTTGATCTGAGTTTTGTACACAAATCTTTCTGAAATTAATATTAATAATTTAGGAAAATCTACAATTTTCCATGGTTAAGCTTAGTTATGATGCAATCCTAGGGTTTGTTTCTTGAGAGCAGCTTCAAAACTGTCACATATCGTGCTATGGTGGAACAGTTTCTGACGTATGCATAAGTTGTTTTTCATCAAGCTATTTAAAATTTGCAGTAATCACATATCATACTATGGTAGAACAGTTTCTGGCATATGCGTAAGTTGTTTTTCATCAAGCTATTTAAAATTGGCAGTAATCACATATCGTACTATGGTGGAACAGTTTCTGACGTATGCGTAAGTTGTTTTTCATCAAACTATTTAAAATTGGCAGTAATCACATATCGTACTATGGTGGAACAGTTTATGATGTATGCGTAAGTTGTTTTTGATCAAGCTATTTAAAATTGGCAGTAATCACATATCGTACTAAGGTGGAACAGTTTATGACGTATGCGTAAGTTGTTTTTTATCAAACTATTTAAAATTGGCAGTAATCACATATCATACTATGGTAGAACAGTTTCTGACGTATGCGTAAGTTGTTTTTCATCAAGCTATTTAAAATTGGCAGTAATCACATATCGTACTATGGTGGAACAGTTTCTGACGTATGCGTAAGTTGTTTTTTATCAAACTATTTAAAATTGGCAGTAATCACATATCGTACTATGGTGGAACAGTTTCTGACGTATGCATAAGTTGTTTTTCATCAAACTATTTAAAATTGGCAGTAATCACATATCGTACTATGGTGGAACAGTTTATGACGTATGCGTAAGTTGTTTTTCATCAAGCTATTTAAAATTGGCAGTAATCACATGTACTATGGTGGAACAGTTTCTGACGTATGCGTAAGTTGTTTTTCATCAAGCTATTTAAAATTGGCAGTAATCACATGTACTATGGTAGAACAGTTTCTGACGTATGCGTAAGTTGTTTTTCATCAAGCTATTTAAAATTGGCAGTAATCATATATCGTACTATGGAAGAACAGTTTCTGACGTATGCGTAAGTTGTTTTTTATCAAGCTATTTAAAATTGGCAGTAATCACATATCGTACTATGGTAGAACAGTTTATGATATATATGTAAGTTGTTTTTCATCAAGCTATTTAAAATTGGCAGTAATCACATATCGTACTATGGTGGAACAGTTTATGATATATATATAAGTTGTTTTTTATCAAGCTATTTAAAATTGGCAGTAATCACATATCGTACTATGGTGGAACAGTTTATGATATATATATAAGTTGTTTTTTATCAAGCTATTTAAAATTGGCAGTAATCACATATCGTACTATGGTAGAACAGTTTATGATATATATATAAGTTGTTTTTCATCAAGCTATTTAAAATTGGCAGTAATCACATATCGTACTATGGTAGAACAGTTTATGATGTATATGTAAGTTGTTTTTCATCAAGCTATTTAAAATTGGCAGTAATCACATATCGTACTATGGTAGAACAGTTTATGACGTATGCATAAGTTGTTTTTTTACCAAGCTATTTAAAATTGGCAGTATGAACATGTATATATGAAATGTCTTAGTTTGTATGTGTTTCAACTTAAGTAGAACACCAGAAAAGTAATTCAGAGCTTGGGTGAAAAAAAGCACGATGCTGAAAGCAATTTTATTTTACCTCGTGATCTATCAATGTCTCACTGCCAGATTTTACATATCAGACTCTCTGTGTCAGGTCTGTATTGTTTCAGACTTCTGTAATTTATAAGGATCATTATATCAGGTTTAAACAATAAGTTATAGCATTTATTATATAGAAACTTTAATGCAACTGTAGAATTTAGCAGAAACAAAACGTTTACTTAACTTTAGCTATGGGTCCAGTCATTGTCTAGTGGTTAGTATGTTTTAACTGTGAAATCAAGTTTTCATGGTCACAAAATAAGCTTCACACTTTGGGTATGCTTTAAGGTGATGGGCAAATTCTACTACTAACTTAGTCAAGTGAAAGTAACCCAATAACTGGAAATGGGTGTTCCTGACTAGCGACCTTCCGTCTTTTTTCTCCAGATAGCTATTTGTGTAGCTTTGCTTGAAAATTCTAAAACAAACAAAAGTTTAGTTCCAAGACAAAAAAAAACTTTTTTTTTCATATTCGGTTGGCTTAGCATTAGATTCCAAACACAGTACAAACGATTGACACAGATTTGTTACATAATAAACATTACAATGTAAAGATACCATTAAGTGTATTTTTATGAGAGTTATAATATTCAGATTGAATACGAATCTTTTTTATATTTCA